CCAAAAAAAAAAAAAAAAAAAAAAAAAAACGTCCTGGGTGAGCTGGGCATGGTAGTGTATTCCTGAAACTCCAGCACTCAGGAGGTTGAAGAAGGATCACCAGGAGCTTGAGAAGCGCCTAGGTTACATAGCAAGTTCAAGGCCAGCCTGAACTACACATTGAAAACCTATCTAACAAAACAAAACAAAAACCTGGAAAAGAAAACCTGGGAGAAACCTCCCTGACTAACAGGAGCTCCGAAGAGGGCAGGGTACATTCTTCCCCCTCACCACATATATAGGGGTCAAGGCTCATTAAGTCTCATCTCCAAAGGCAGAGAAGGCCCTCTGCTACTCTAGCTTTAAAGGTCCCTCGTGGCCTGAGGAATGTGGTAAACTACCTGCCTGCTCACCTACTCCCACACCAGCCTATTTGAAAAAGTGCCCATGATGTGTGGCTGGCAAAACAGTTCACTATCCTGTGGAGGGGGACTCACACATGCCACCTCCAGGCCAACCCTACTACAGAGCCCTCCCTGCAGAAGGGGGCTGCCCTGCCCTCTCAGGCCCACCTCTAAAGGACCAATGGGAAGCTCTGGCCTCCTCCTCTCCCTGCCACCTCCCATTTCTATTTAGGAGGCAGCCATGGAGCTCAGCTCCTGTCTCTGGTTTCCTAGGGATCTCTGCTGAAACAGCCCAGCCTCTGTGGGTCCATCTGTCAGGGAGGCTGTTCCGCCCCATCGATTGCTGTTCCCAGGGGGCTGTGTTGCTTGAGGGACCCAATGTGGCCGCCAGATAGGAGAGAACCACACGGATAAGAGGCGGGGAGGGGGCCAGCTTGGCAGCAGGCAGAGCCAAGAGGCTGACATGGCAGAGAGAAGGCACAAAGCTAGACAGGCATAAGAAATGTACAGGGCCAGGGGCAGTGAGGCAGCAGACTGGCCGGGACGACCTGTGAAGCCAGCTGGCACCCTCAGCACTCAGCTTGGCCTTTCGGACACACCAGGTTCCCACTTGCAAAGACAATAGTAACATCGGTTGACATTTACTGAACAGGAACAGTGTATGTGCCCAGCATTGGGCTGGGGCTCCAGACACCTCTGTTTTCACTTGAGGTCACATCCTTCAGGGGCAGATGCTATTATTTTCCAGGAGAGGAAGAGGCTCAGAGAGGCTGCAGCTGAAGCTGGTCTGGAAAGCAGGTCGTCCTGGCCCAGTGGTTGTGCCCTAGCTCCAGACCCACAGCCAGGTCTGAGGGGGAGGAGGCAGTCTCCCTGGCCAGAGGCCCTGCCCGCCCTCCCTGCGGAGCCGCCTCCTCCCCTGGTCTGTGTGACATCTGCCCTGCTTCCCGGCCCCAGACAGCTGCCCAGAGCCACGTCAGCACTTCCACCGGAGAGTCTGGAAACTGGCTCTGGCCACTGCGTGAGGGAGGACCGGGGGTGCGGGGGTGTGGGGTGGGGCGCTGCGGATCCCCGACAGGATGGCTCTCAGGGTGACCCACTCAGCTGAGCAGAGGGTGGGGGTCGCGTGACCCTAAGCGGCGCGCTTCTAAGGAACCTCGGTTTCCCCTGCTTGGGTGAGCGCATGGACGGGGACACTTGGAGAGGCGCCCAGAAGAGAAGGTAGCAGCATCCGGAGTGTACAAGAAAATATTCCCACGCAGCCGAAGTTCTGGGGACCCCAAGGGCAGCCAGCGACCCTCACAGTCCTGCTGGGGCCAGGGAGTGGTTTGCAGAGACTCACGG